AGGTGATCAATGGGGAGGGGGGGGCGTGATTTCCCCAAAGAGGGAGGCCCAGGCTACCTGGCTGGCAGTGCTACAGCGGGTGGGCAGGGCCTCCCTCTGCACGGTAATCGATCTGGGGGCCCCCTGATTGTTCACCCCACAAAGGAAGGCCCAGGCCAGCCCAGCAATCGCACCCCATTCCTGTTGCCTGCAAAGGGAGGCAACTGTTGGCAGGGAGGTGGGGGACAGCACCACACAGATGGCAAGCAGTGGCAGCAGCAGGGGCGGGGCCAGCTGCCAGCAGCAGGGGGAAGGAAAGCCCCAATAGGCCCTGATCGCTGGCCAGGCCTAGGGACCCTACCTGAGGGGTCCCAGATTGAGAGAGGACACAGGTTGGGCTGTGGGACACTCCCCCCCCATGCACGAATTTCGTGCACCAGGCCACTAGTCTATATATAAAAATAGATGAGAGAACAGTGAAAAAAAAGGCATGTAAGCAAAATCTCTTTGAGTTTGCCTTTTTAAAATGCAGTTTCAGCCCAGCCAGTGTGGCTCAGTGGTTGAGCATCGACCCATGCACCAAGAAGCCGCAGGTTGGATTCCCAGTCAGGGCACATGCCCAGTTTGTGGGTTGCCACTCAATCCCCAATAGGGGGTATGCAGGAGGCAGCCAATCAATGATGCTCTCTCATCAATGATGTTTCTACCTCTCTCTCCCTCTCCCTTCCTCTCTAAAGTCAATAAAAATATATTTTTAAAAATTCAGTTTTTCTTTGTAAACCTACTGTATAACATATCAAAAATAATACTGAATAAAATGGGGAAAAAACTAATTATATTTTAAATTCATAACATAATCACTAAGATAAAAAAACTTTAGGTTTCACTTTGGGGAACAAAACCCAAGGGCAAAAAGAAATGCAAAGAAATTTTAAAATTAATTTAGTAATTTTATAGTTATTGATATTGGGATTATTTTTAAAGCTATTTTATGAATATTGTAAGAGATAGTAAATAATTATGTTAATGTTATCAAACAAGGGTTACAGTGGAAGAGAAAGGAAATACTATCAAGTTTAAAAAGTAAATTTGAATTGAATTATCAATATTTAAATCAATTACACAATATAATTTAAATGTCAAAATGTATAATAAGGCAATTAACTGAAATATTCTGTTTGATAAAAAATTTATGAGTTCATAAGAATACTAAGAAAGGGAAAAATGGAGAGGGGATGGGAGAGGGAGAGAGAAAGACAGCCAAAGTGAGGGGAAGGAGAGAAAACAGGTATAAAATAAAGCAAAATAAATAAAACAAAAAAGCACCACTAAAGGCAACAAAGGCCACTAGCACTTTAATGTAAAAATTTTTCTATACAAAGATAGGCATTTATTCTTGTATTTTCTCTACAAACTATTTCAAGATAACCAAATAGTTCTTATTCAATAAGGATCCCAGTTTTTAAAAAAAATATGGAAGGAAAGATCAAATTAGAAAACTTACTTTTTGCATCCCCAATTGCCTTAATTAATTCAGGCCACAGTAATCAATGGCTAGAAGCAATATGAAAAAGTTGGTGAAGAACTTTATTACAAGCTACTCAATGTCAACTGTAGTAACATGCAAAGCGAACACTCTATGACTCCTAATAAAAGCCACAGAGCACCACCCATGAAAAAGTCCTGCTAAAATGACTCAATGTAAACCTAATCAAGACTGTTGCAGTAACTTCCATGGCCATTAAAAGCAGGGCTTCGTGAAACAATTCCAATGACACTAAAAGGAAGTAAATGGACAAATCCAGAATGTGGACATTGTACAGGATAATTAGTATAGGTTCTGCAATAAATCAGTGGTTGAGGTGGGGGGGAGGGAAAGTGGGAGGATTGCTACAGATGGGAAAGACTTCAAAGACCTATGTAATATAATATGTGGTCATTTCTTGTATTATGATTCAAATCAACTCAGAAAATTTTGAAAAATAAAAACTGGAGTACATATTATCAGTTTATACAAGGTATCACCATCTATACTAATAAAAGACAAAGATACTAATTGACTGTACCTTCGCTACACCCTAAGCCATGCCCACCAGCCAATCAGGCGACTATATGCAAATTAACCCAACCAAGATGGCGGCCAGCAGCCACGTAGCTGGAGCAAGCAGGAGGCTTGGTTGCCCGGGCGATGGAGGAAGCCAAGCTTCCCGCCAGCCCTGAGCCAGCTGTGGCCTCCGCTCATGGCAACAAAGTTTCAATTATAGAAGATAAATAAATCCCAGACACCTGCTTCCAGCCAGCCTCCACTGGGAGCTTGGGTGGCTGGGGACTGTGGCCAGCCTGCGAAAAGCCATCAGCCCCTCACCCAGGCTGGCCAGGCACCCCAGTGGGGACCCCCACCCTGAAGGGGCTGTGGCCAGCCTGCAAACAGCCATCAGGCCCTCACCCAGGCTAGCCAGGCACCCCAGGGGGAACCCCTACCCTGAAGGGGCTGTGGCCAGCCTGCAAACAGCCTCAGCTCCTCACCCAGGCTGGCCATGCACTCCAGTGGGGACCCCCACACTGACGGGGCTGTGGCCAGCCTGAAAACAGCCATCAGCCCCTCACCCAGGCTGGCCAGGCACTCCTATATAATAAAAGGGTAATATGCAAATTGACCCTAACAGCAGAACGACTGGGAATGACTGGTCACTATGACACACACTCACCACCATGGGGTAGATGCTCAATGCAGGAGCTGCCCCCTGGTGGTCAGTGCGCTCCCACAGGGGGAGCTCTGCTCAGCCACAAGCCAGGCTGACAGCTGCCAGTACAGCAGTGGTGGTGGGAGCCTCTCCTGCCTCCTCAGCAGCACTAAGGATGTCCGACTGCAGCTTAGGCCTGCTCCCCGCTGGCAAGTGGACATCCCCCGAGGGCTCCCGGGCTGCTAGAGGGATGTCTGACTGCCAGCTTAGGCCCAATCCCCCGGGGAGAAGGCCTAAGCCAGCAGGTGGTCATTCCCCGAGTGGTCCCAGACTGCAAGAGGGCACAGGCTGGGCTGAGGGACCCCCCGCAAGTGCACAAATTTTTGTGCACTGGGCCTCTAGTTAATTATAATTGGTATCAGAATGCATGTGGTTAAGTAAGAATGGGCCATATTATTAAAAACCATCTACTGAAGCATGGAAGGTGAAAATTATATAATTTTGGGGTTTGTTTTAAAAAAAGAAAAAGTAAGAACAAACCAAAAGTAATGATAAAGCAAATGTTGAACAGGTTATGTGGAATCTTCATATATTTATTTTGTAAATGTTTGAAATTTTCAACACTATAAAAATGAAAGAAAACAAAACAAAACATAAGCAAACAAATAAAACTAATATCGAGGAGGCCTAAGTAGAACCAGGGCTAAGCATAGAAAGTTGACTTGCCTTTACTCCCCATCTATTCCCATACAGACCCTGATGTTTCAGTCTATGTCACTTTCTTAATGATTCTGGGAGACAGGAGATGAAAATGATGGAACTTTGGGGAGGCTTCAAAAATTTAAGCCATTAGAATTGTACCAGAATAAAGTTTTTAGTTCCTGATTTTTTGCAATCTTTGATTATTAATTAATCATTATTTAAGCCCCTATCATGTCCCTTGAGCATTTCATAAGTTAAATAATAAAAACAAAATTGTAAGCCAGGTAGTAAATAATATAAGATTTTTACATTAGAACTAGTGGCCCGGTGAACAGATTTGTGCACCGGTGGGGTCCCTCAGTCTGGCCTGCACCCTCTCACAATCTGGGACCCATTGGGGGACCTGCGAGGATCAGGCCGAAATTGGCAGTCCGACATCCCCTGAGGGATGTAGTATGTGCGTGAGGTGGCAGGCGGCCAGGAAGGAGTCTGAGCCTGGGCCAGGTGCCACACTGCTCCTCCTCATTCTGGCCCCGCTGCACCTACCGCTGCCGCTGCTTGGTAGCCCTGCAGTGAAGGCGGGAGAGGCTTGCACTGCTGCAGCTGCGCTTGCCAGCCATGAGCCCAACTTCTAGCGCCTGTTGGTCAGCTGAGTGGCACTCCCACTGTGGGAGCACACTGACCACCAGGGAGCAGCTCCTACATTGAGTGTCTGCCCCCTAGTGATCAGTGCACATCATAGTAACCGGTCGACTGGTTGTTCAGTCACTTAGGCTTTTATATATATAGATTATCACACCGGAAACATCTAGAAGTAAGTTGAATTTCAGTTGGTAGACTAAAGAAGTTGAGTAGTAACAAGTGCAGCAACAATAGAACACTGCAAAACTTGACAGCAAAATGTAAGAGAGATGAGGTGAGGATAGAAGTGAATGGCAAGAGGAAGAACTTGACATAAAACAGGTGATAAATGATGGAGTAAGGTGCCAGAGGAGACTGACAGGTATATTTATAGAATTAGAAGGACTGGCCTTAAACAAAAAAAAAGACAGTTTTGTTGCTGAATTATACGAATTATAAAGTATGAAGGTGGAAACAGATACAGATATATAGGTACATAGATATACAAATGGAGTGATGGAGAAGATTAGGAAGATGAATTATTTCTTCTAGGTAGTATTAGTAGCTTTAGCTAAAGAATAAAAGATTAGTACAAGTGATGTATGTAGGCAAGCAAAGGAGTGATGGAGTGATAAAAGGGTTTACTACAAATAACTCTGGCAGTTCCCACCAGAAAGCACAGGATCCATAAAAAATGATGGCATCAACCTGGGGTATTATATTCCCCATTAGAGCTCAGATCAATACTGGTTATAAGGAAAGGAACAGGAAGGTGCCTATACTAATAGCAAGAACTACTAACAATTACCCATTTGTCAGTGGTGGGAACATATTCCTTTTGTAAAATTTAAAAATTATTTTATGTTCTTAGTAAATAAGGATAAAAGATTAAATAAGTATGGCATGAATAAAATAAACAAATAATGGATGGTGGCCTATTCTTTAATAGGAATAAATGAAAATATATAATGATAAGAAATAAATGTCTATATATTAAAATTCCATTTTTCTCACCAATTCGAGTGATTTTATTATGTGAAAGTTCAAGATCTTGGATATTAGTGCAGCCATCCAAACCATGCAAAGAAGTTAGTTTATTTTTATTAAGAAGAACAACACAGAGATTTTCCAAATTTTCACAGTCGATAGTCTCAATATTATTTTCCTAAAACAAAGAACAAATGTAATTAGTTTTATTTCAATGGCTTCTAAAAAAAATTTAAAGCTTGAAAAAAGATGAGATATAATCTCTAAATGAACATCTAATTATCTAACTTAGAATAACCATGCAAAATGTATTACTATCTAGATGAAAATATAGAATCTGTCTATATAAAACCCTCATATGCAAATTGACCGAACGGTGGAACGACCCAACAACAGGTTGCTATGATGTGTGCTGACCACCAGGGGCATATGCGGAACATGGCGGGCCTCAGCAGCAGGTGGCAGAGCACAGAACATGGAGGGCATCAGCCACCGCGGGATGGTGGAGCAGGTGAGCGGGGGGCACCAAACCAAGGCGGGGCACTAGTCACTGTCATCAGGGCAAGCCTCTAGTAGTTACTGAAAATTCTTTGCTCCCACGTGCCACAGTCCCGCCTGGCACTCACACCCACTGCCGCCCTGCTCACACCCACTGCCGACACTGGAGCCACCGCTCACACCCACTGCCAGCCCCAATCACTCAGCGCCGTCAGCAGGTGCAAGCAGTGGCTGCTGGTCCCGATCACCCTGAGGGCTTCTTCACCTCCCCCTGCTCCTAAAGGGCGATCGGGGCAGCAGCCGCCGCTCACACCGCTGATGGCACCGGCCCTGTTTGCACCCACTGCCGGCGCTGGCCCCAATCGCTCTGCATCATCAGTGGGTGCAAGCGGGGCTGGTGCCATCAATGCATGGGAGCAGCAGGAGCAGGGCTGCCGGCAGACAGGGAACTGGGGGCCACAGCAAGAGGGGCTAGGCAGGGGTGCAGAGGATGAGCCAGGCGGTGGCGTGGCGATCAGATCGGCGGGGCGGGCAGATGGCTGGCGGAAGGGAGGCCGCACCTGGCAGCCGCTAGGGACCCTACCCATGCACGAATATCGTGCACCAGGCCTCTAGTCAAGTAATAAATCATTAACTGATCTTGTATTTATTGATAATCTTTTAAAATATTGAAAATACAGAGGATGATCCTATACAATAAAAGGGTAATATGCAAATTGACCCTAACAGCAGAACGACTAGGAACAACCGGTCACTATGATGCGCACTGACCACCAGGGGGCAGACGCTCAACGCAGGAGAAGCTCCGCTCAGCCACAAGCCAGGCTGATGGCTGCGAGTGCAGCACCAGTGGCAGGAGCCTTTCCCACTTCTACGGCAACGTTGATGTCCAACTGTGGCTTAGGCCCGCTCCTCCTGGGGAGCGGGCCTAAGCTGTCAGTTGGGACATCCACGAAGGGGTCCCGGACTGCGAGAGGGTGCAGGCCTAGGCTGAGGGACCTCGGAGTGCACGGATTTTCATGCACTGGCCCTCTAGTATAACAAGATATTTCAATCTAAATGAATAAGAGTTAATATTTGGTACTATATAAAACTGTTATTAAAAATAAACCACTGAAATAATTGAAATCTCCCCACCTTCCCTCCTCAGTTCCTTCATCTCCCAAGAACACTAATATCACGAATTAAGTATACATCTCATATATAGGTTTATATTTTTACTATACATATTCATCTCTGCAATACATATATATTGGTCTCAGTGTCAAGGTCATGTGTCAAGGATGCATTAGCAACTCTCTCTTTTAAGACCTCAGAATAGACCATAGCAACTCTCTCACAAATATTTTTGAGGATAGTCTTTGTCTAATGGAGTGAACTTAATAAGAAGCAGAGACAGCCCACAATGTTTTTAAAAGAAAATCATATTGGTGAAAGTACCACCAGTTTGAACTGAAAAGACTATAATTAAAAATGAAAAGAAGCTTTTAGGTGCCCCACCTTCTATGGGAAAGAAACTGGTTGAGAAAAAATTATCAACTGCAAAACAGCACACTTTTTGAGGACAAGGAAGTGTGCCTTGAGGATGGACTCAAAAGCCCAGTGTGCAGAATCAAGAGTCATAGAAACCATTACTGTGGAGCCAACCTGAATCCTTATTAAGGAATTGATAACTTCCCAAGGAACAAATCATAAACAGAAGGTATTTTAGGCGTTCAGCCCCGGCCACAAATTACATAAGAGACCCAGTGAACACAATATGAAGCAGAAGAAATACCCAGACAATCCTGGCCTCAATTCATGGCCCCCAAAACCACGAGCAAACAAATGATTATTATTTTAATTTGCTAAGTAATGTGGCCATTTGTTATATAGCAGAAAGTAACAAGAACAACCATCCACACACAGAGATAAGCAATTCCCTGGTCATACTGCCTAATCATTTTCCCTCTATGGCTCGCAGAAATTTTGGCCCTTGATCTCTTTACAACATGAGTTACATGGTATTTTAATAAATGTTGTTGTTGTTGTTTTTTCAAAATAGTCATTTCTGAAATGTAAAGATGAATTCACCTTATATTTTATTACAAGATAGATAATGAGAACAGAGGACATACCTGTACATCAATGTACTTCAGTTTTTTGCAGTTATTCAGGCCATGCAAAGAATTTAATCCACAGCGTCGAAGAGACAGAAACTGAAGATTGGTACACTCTGCCAGTGTGGAAAGACTACAACCTGGCAAATCTTGAAATGTTACTCTTGTAACCTAGATAATTCAAAAAATTAGAGTGCATAACATTATCTAACAGTAACAATCTCTGAGATCAGGGAACTCTATCTGAGCAGACCATCTCCACCTGGATCTGATTTAAATGAGATGATTCTGTGCCTCAAGTCTGAGCCTGACGCCACATATTGCTGAGACTTTGGGGTCTTTGGGACCTGAACCATGGAATGCAAACAACATTCTATTGCACGTCTTCTCTATTATAAAGGTATGAATCATTCCTTACTACTGAATAATGTAATATACCCAACCATATAGTATCTGTGCTAAAAAAAATCATGAATAATATTTTTTCTCTATTTTTCAAGTATCTGAAGACCATGCATTTATAATATTTCATATTACTGAGATATTACTATAGACTTATTACTTCATAATGCTTTTTTTCTTAAGGAACTCCCTTTTTTGTTTGTTTGTTTTTTTAGCTAAAGAAAACTCAATATCAAAGAAAGTTTTCAACTTTATATATACGAAGGGCTACATTTATTGTCCTAGAAGAATATATCAGATAGAAATATTTTTTGATTAGGAAAATGCACTGCATTTTTTAAACTCAAGATTTCTCACCTATGTTAAAGGGCAGAGGAATAATGCAATAATGTATTGTTATTGTTTATTTCACTACAATTGAGTCTATGCACTGAAATAACTATATAAAAAATCAAATTATAGTAAGAATATTTTCATATTGCCACATCAAAAATCCTAAACCAGGTTTCCCATGTGCTGAAAAACAATTTAAAAATTATTAGCTTTATAAGAAGAGTCTAGTAGTATCACAATCAAAATAGAAATTCAAAAATTGTTAGTTGAAATTGAAAGCATTATTACTTCAGAAAAAGCTGGAAAAGTATAAAATTTTAATTTTGATAACTCCTCTTCATATTGAAATTTTCTGTGCATGATATTAAACTAAAAGTTTTTAATTTACATATTTACATGAGTGAATAGGAAGATCATATGCTCATGAAGAGTGATTAAGAAGTGATTAAGTCTATTCCTTGCAAAAGAAATAATCCATATTTTTAAAACTTTGGGTGAATAAAAGTTTTTAGTTTCAAAATTATTTTAGAAATTTCTCAATTAGTCATAATCTAAACATATATTTTAGTGAAAATATTTTTCAAGAATGAGGATAAAACACATCCCTCCCCACTCAAACAAAAGTGAGAGATATTTCAGTGCCCATAGCATACATTTTAGGCAGAAGGAAAGTGATATAGATGGGAGACCTATAATGAAAGTAAGAAAGACGACCAAAATAATTAGTAAGTCAGACAAAGAAAGACAGAAACTGCTCTAGCCAGTTGGGCTCAGTCGATGCAGCATTGGCCTGCAGACTGAAGGGTCCCAGGTTTAATTCTAGTCATGGGTGTGTGTATATATACATATATAGGAGTTCATTCTCAATTATTCTTGAGTTCAACCCAAGGAGTGCCAGTCACCTATGGTAAATTGAAAATACAAAAGTAACAAAAACAATGATTATGTTTTGCTTTGCAGAACATCTGTTCTGTGCCACATCTCAAATCTATTAAACTTGAAGAAATAATACTGTTTAAAAATTCAGGCTGCAGAGACTGAATGTGAGGTATGATTAGATGATTAAGTAAAAGAGAATCTTACTTCACATAAATTATGTACCATCACACCAGTTTATTTCAATTTGCCTTGTATAAGGAAAGTGAGTCATCTGATCTAAAAGTAAACCAGCTGCTAACATGCTGTAATTTATGCCATGTTAGAAAGCCATATCAAAAAATCCTGCCTGGCTGGTGTGGCTCAGTTGGTTAGAGTGTCATCCCATGCACTGAAGGGTCGCTCCTGGTCAGGACACATATCCAGGTTTTGGGTTTAAGCCCCAGTCAGGGCACATCTGGATAAATGTTTCTTTCTCTCTTCCTTGCTATTCCCCTCTCTCTCTTTCTACAATCAATGAAAAACATGTCCTCAGGTGAGGACTTAAGAATATACATATATCCTTAAGTTCGGTGACTTTTTTTCTGGTTGTTATTTAAAGCAAGTTACCACTATGAGCAAAATACCAAAAAAAAAAAAGAAAAAATAGTAAAACTTGGAAAAATTAAAATATATTAGTTGTCAATAATCACCAATCTCCAGTCATATCCTTTTGTGATATTACTGCATAGAGTGGATAGCTCAGCATTTTCAATTTAAGAATTTATTTGATGAAACCAGCTATTAGGCAGCTCTCAAAAATCAATTTGCCTGTTTTTCAAATATTTGGGATCCACATTTGACAATGACAATTAGGAGCCCTAGACTGTAGTCAACATAGTCAACAATCCTATAAAGTAGGTATTGCTCTTCCCAGTTTATAGAAGACAAAATTGAGATTCATAAAGGTCCAGTACCTTGCACCAGGTGACACAGACAGTAAATAGGAGAAATAAAATTAGAACCATGATCTTACCTGTTACACAGCTTGTTAGTACTTTATTAAATTACTCTCAAATAATTTTATATCAATTTCCTTTTTAATCAATACACTCTTGAAACTGTGAAGTTAGTAATAACATGGAGATAAGATGAACATTCAGCCAGATTTATTTATCCATTCTCTCATTCATCCATCCCATAGTCAATTGATCAAAACCACTATTTGCCTGGCAATACGTAAAGGAGTATGGTCAAGAAGCAGATCTGATTTGCGTCCTAAAGGCTCAAAGTGAGAGATTAATATAAGCAAAATAAATTCATTACTGACTGAAATTCCGGAAGAGTAAATTTTCTTTTCTAAAGGTCCTCTCCAGAGGACCTTTCAATTATGGCAATGGGTGCTCAAGATAAGGTCAAAGATGGAAAGCTATGAGTTTAGAAAATCAAAGTGATAAAGTGAGTCATAGGTCAGCAGCCGTGGTGAATGAAAACACCATGATAAGCCATCTGCCAGAGTCATTACAAGATGATATTTTACAAGATTTCAATATTTATATTGCACATTTACATATATTTTTCAGCCCTGTACTATATAGTTTGAGGCTTCAAGAAAAATTAAATGTTTGAGATAGTTGCTTTGAGTAGTGGTCAGAGGATTTCAGGATCCTTCAGAATGCTGCTACTCCAGGTAGTCGATGGGCCAGCCCCAACAGCACCACCCAGGGTCACTGTAAAAATGCAGAGGATTGGGATTGATCACCAGACCTAAGGAATCAGAATCAGCCCCGGCGATCTGCGTACACACTGCAGTTTGGGATGCTAACTGCACTCTAAGAAGTAAAAGAAAGGGTTAGTCCTCACTTTATGAACATTGACAGGAGTTCCAAGGAAGGAACTGAGTGGTCAGGAACAGAAATGCCAACGAGAAAGAGGTTCACACATTTTAACTTCCTCAGCGCTCTTCTCCTTGAACAGAACAGAGACTCACAGGAAGAGGGTCCTCCTGTCTCCCTAACTTCAGTTTTACTTTTCAGACAAGAATCTATAGGCATGAAGCTGTCACCCATGCTTAGCCCAGACCCGTGGTCGGCAAACTGTGGCTCGCGAGCCACATGCGGCTCTTTGGCCCCTTGAGTGTGGCTCTTCCTAAGCCTTAGGAGTACCCTAATTAAGTTACTAACAATGTACCTACCTATATAGTTTAAGTTTAAAAAATGTGGCTCTCAAAAGAAATTTCAATCGTCGTACTGTTGATATTTGGCTCTGTTGACTAATGAGTTTGCCGATCACTGGCCAGACAGACATTCATGAGGAAAATTAATTTAAATAAAAGAGTTAGTAGCTAATGTCATTACTTCAAAAAACCTGCAGCAACATCTTTGGGAAAGCAGAAAAAGAAGGATTCCAAAGATAATGTAGCCAAAGGCTAAAAACAAACAAACAAAAACAGAAGAGCTAATCAGAGATTCTATAAATTTGATGGACAAGGCAAATACATTGCCTAGGAAAGAGAGGACACTTCAAAGTAGTGCCTGCTCTTTACACTATTCTTTTATACCCCAGGGATCTCTTTAAATCCCACTGTCTTCTCTTCTCACAGAATACCCTGAAATGGTATTTACAGTAATTATCAAGATCTGTATTTATCTGCAGGTTATTTTAATAAATTTTTGTCTACCACAATAAGTTCCATAGGGGCAGAGACTCAGTTTTGTATCCATCCCTTTGTTCCAACAGTAAATATTGACTGATCATATTAGATAGATGAATATTTGCTGAGTAAATAATAAAATAATGCACGTATATTAATATGAATGTTTCTTTTCCCAGGCATCAGTCTATATGAAGAAACTAATTTTATTAAAACATTTGCATTTCAGGCCATAGCTAAATATATGATTTTTTAAATCATAAGTTCTTTTTGATATTACACTATTTGAAATATTCTTCCCTGTTTTTCTACACATGTGTCAGTTTCTGTCTTAATTTTAATTGAAACTATGGGCTCCATAAACATAGAAAATTAGTAGCACTTGATGACAACTATTTTAAATTTCAGGCATATATCCGCCATGTTCACATTGCACATGACTAAATAATGTTTTTATAGAAATTCTAGAGTCTTCTATGGTTATAAGCAGTTTTCAAGTACAGGGAAATCAGTTTCATTCCAAAAGGAGCCACTAGGTGGTGCTGTTGCTCAAGACTAAAGCAAACGCCTAGCTGAATAACAGGAATTTTCTATTCTAATTCAACCCTACTTTCCCAAATGCCTCCACTCTTAGAAACTTAATAATGACTTTAAGGCCCTTAAACACAGGCTTCAACATATAAATAAAAGGTTTTAATAGTGATTCACTGAGGGAGAAGATGCCTTAATAATTTGAGATCTCAAATGGAGGCAGTATTTCATTAGCAACTTCACAGATTAAGGAGCATAATTATTGAATATAAAATATGCCTTCCAAAATGGGAGACATCTGTAATACTATCCACAATAAAAACTATATTTAAAAAATAAAATAAAATATGCCTTCCACTAGTATTTTAAGTTACCTTTAGAAAACCAATTGCAATTAAATAAGACAATACATTATAAAATTACAAAATACCTGCTGTAAAGTATTCCATGGGCCACATTGAAGAATTTCTAGTGTATTCAAAGGAGGCATCGTGTTGGCTGGACACTTCACAAGTCTCTTTCTCTTAACAATCTTCTTTTGTTGATGTTGCTTGAAAATGTCTGACCAGGATTTAACAGATTTTATCCAAGCTTGCCTCTTTTCTTCAATAGAAGATAGAAGTGTTGGCTCCGGTACAGAGCAGGTCACAACACTCTCACATTCAGCTCTATTTTCATGACATTCTTCTGAAATTTCTTTAATCTGAGACTTTAGAGAGCTTACTTCTTTAAGAACCAAAGAGTTTGTTGTATTATAGCCACTCAGGTCTTCACAAGGAGCATGTCTACCTAAAATATAATTTTGCTTGTTTATTTTCCTTTCTACATTTATCAGAGCATCACTACCATCAATAATTAAGTCACTATTCAGAGCACTGCCTTTTGGATTCTCCTTAGTTTCTTCAGATTTTAAATCAAGTTCTTTTCCTTGAAGTATTACATTCTCACCTATACATTCAGAATGTTCTATTGTTAGTGGTAGTAGTTTTTGATTCATTGAAATCATTGAACTGTCATCTGCTTCGTATAATGTTCCATTCTGTTGTGATACTTCTTCTTTTTCTACTTTTTGTGTCTTACTCTGTTGATTATCTTTGATTATTTTCTGTGCCTCATTGTTTTTTACCTCATTAATTTCTTGACTGTGTCCTAATATTATTTGGGTTCCTTGTTTTATATTCTCATTTACGGCAGCCTTCATGGTTACTTCCTTTTGTATTGGACGGATTAATTCTTGCAGCTGAAACTGTTCTTTCCCATGTTCCTTTAGATCTGGGTTTTCTAATTCAGTTTTATGGTCGATAGTTTCATATTTTCTTGCTTGCTTGACCAATTTCTCTGAACATTGTTGTTTGGCCTGGTTTTCATTTTTTTCTTCCATTTTAAGTTCTGCCAAAATTTCTTGGTTTGATATAGATTCTTTTAATTGCACTCCTATTGATTCTTTCAGTACAAATTGTCTATCTATATTCTCTCTCTTATTCAACTTTTCATCTCGCCAAAGGGGAGCAGCTTCCCACTTCTTTGACTTTTCATCTCCTAGCATTTTGGCTATTTCATCCTTATTCTTTGATTTATCTTCAATAGTTAAATGTGTAGCATTTTGTTCTCCCTTTTTTAATGCTCTACTTATTATTATCTGTTTTCTTCCATCTTCTTTTAATCTTAATTTTTCTTTGTTTAGTAGTTGCTCTTTTTCTTGTCTCAGGATGTTCTTTTTTTCTTCATATTCTTTTTCTCTCTTTTTTCTTTCCTCTTGCTTCTGCCTTTGTATTTCTTCTTCTCTCCTTTTTTCCTCCTCTAATCTTTTTTGTATTTCTTCTTCCATCTGTCGTATTTTTGCTTCTTTTTCTTTCAACTCTAGTGCTTTTTTTTTCTTATTTTCTATTTGTTCTTTTATAATTGGGCCATATTGTCGGTAGGCCACAAATGCTCTATATTTAGTTTGAATTTTTACAGCTGCATTATGCTGCATTTTTAATAAACGCATTTTTTCTTTTTCCTGCAGGTCTTTAAATTTTGTTCTTTCTTCTTCCATTTGTAAATGCAAATTCCTAATAAACTCCTATAATAAAGGTAAATAGTAGTCAGCATAAACTAAATGTGTGCTGTTACTGAAATATAATCTAAAATAGAGATTAAAAACAAATACTAAAACTAAAATAATTATAAAGTTACTATACAATTCTTTTACAAAAACTAATTTTTTAAAGGATATTACTTTTTTAGATATTTAAGAGCTTCTATCAAGTTAGTAAGTTGATACTCTAATATTGAGGAATTCTTTGATGATAGAAAGCAAATAAAAATGGCACGGCCAGTGTTGCTCAGTGAGTTTAACATCGTCCCATTCACCAAGAGGTCACTGGTTCAATTCCCCATCAGGGCACATGCCTGAATTGTGGGCTTGATCCCCAGTAGGGGGCCTTCAGGAGGCAGCTGACCAATGTTTCTCTCTGATCATCGTTTCTATCTTTCTCTTCCTCTCCCTTCCCCTCTCTCAAATCAATAAAACATATATATAATGACACATGAGAACAAGCAAGAGAAACCACAAGCCAAAATTTGTGTAGGACCAAAGGACTTCAACTTTCTGAGAAGGGAGTTCTGATAAAGGAGACTCCCAGAGCTAGCACAGGGACTGCAGAATTAACCTAGTCACATATCTTATTCTTTGATAACTATTAAGAAAATTGATAAGCATATGTATTGTATTAAGTGCAACTATTTGGAGTTAGGTGAGAAAATATCATTGTCACTGGAATCCTAAAACAAATAGATCAATAAAATTCAGCAAATATTTGATGAAAACTAACAAAAATTATGTGAGGCAATAACAGTTTAATAAGCAGAAGAACCAATTTCTGAGAAAAGGTAGTTATTAAACTAAATAAAAATTTAAATAAATAAAAAGTTAGAAAAACATATTTAAACAGAAGTAAGCTCATTAAAAATAAAATGTAAGTACTCAAGTTAAAAAAAAAGGACTCAAACAGAAATAAAAATAGAATGGCTTAACAGCTGACTGCCTAAAGAAAACCTTCTAAAACAGGTGTTTTCCCTAAACAGCATACAAAATAATGACAGGAACTATATGACAGAGCCGTTTAGGTGTAAAGTGGATCAACACAGAACCTCACATGACTAGTAGAATTTCCAGAATAAAGAACTGAGAAAGTTTAAAGGGAATAGAAAAATGTTCTTTAAACCAAGAAAATGGCATGAGATAAAGAGCTGAGGTAAAACACTCACATGTACACACACACATACACACACGCGTGCGCGCCCACACTACACTCATGTAAATGGTAGTAACAGTTCAGAACTCTAAGAAATGTAAGGTTCCTGAAGGCATGGGTTATTTTCTATTGATACATTGCTGTATCTTGAGCACTTAGAGAAGTGTCTGGCAGACAACAGAAAATAAGTAAATATATGTGGATGAATGTAAAATTAAATAAATATGCAATGGAAATATACCTTTAAATTATTTAAACTAAATGGTAATAAATCTGTATTGTAAACCCAAGGAAACAAATCCTTCAGTTTTGAAAGCAAAAGTAAAAACATTTCCAAGGGTGCAAAGACTGAGAAAATTTTCCATCCAAAAATGTTTCTAGACAAGTATTTTGATACATATTATAGGAAATCAAACTGATCCAGAAAGTAGGTAAGATTAAGGATTCAAAGAACACTGATGATCAAAAACCATTAACATTTAGCACTTAATTTTTTTATTTTACTGTCTTCTCCCTTTCATCATTTCACTTAAGAAGACAGCTGTTACTCTTCCTCTTTTTATGTAATGTGCCTTTTTTTCTGGCTGCTTTTAATAATATTTATCCCTTTGTCTTTAATTTCAATAGTCAGGTATAATTTTATTTGTATTGATTCTACTTTGGGGATCATTAATCATCTTTGAATATTCAGAATGATTTTTTAAAAATATATTTTATTGATTTTTTAGAGAGAAGAAGGGAGAGGGATAGAGAGTTAGAAACATCGATGAGTGAGAAACGTCGATTCAGCTGCCTCCTGCACACCCCCTACTGGTGATGTGTACGTAGAGCTCGGGAAGTATGTCTCAGCGCTGTGGCTGATGCAATGGTGTGAGCACACTCCACCATGACATGCTTCCTCGGCACACCAGGAAGTAGCAACGCCCGCCTGAACGAACTCCTAGAGCCATGTGCACAGTACCCCAGCCTTTCAGCCATTGGTCGCCTGTAGCAACCTGTCTCCTCTGATTGGTCCCCTCATGCTATATATACCCCTATAGTTCCACAATAAAACGGATCTGTGTCACTGAACCTGGTCTCCAGAGTCGTGCATGCAGACGCCCTAGCGCGTTGGGGCTCCGTCGTCCTCACCCCCGAGGGACCCCCTGCTTCAGTGATGTGTGCCTGCAACCAAGGTACATGCCCTTGACCAGAATCGAACCTGGGACCCTTCAGTCTGCAGGCCGACGCTCTATCCATTGAGCCAAACCAGCTAGGGCTCAGAATGATTTTTAAAAGATAATTTAAAACCATTTCAACTATTATGTCTTCAGACCCCATTGCTTCTGCTCCATTCTCTTTCTTTCCAAGATTAATATTAAAAGCATTTTTATCTTTACACTGTATCACACATTTCTTGTGCTCTTTTCTGCTTTTCCAATTTTTGTCTTCTCTGTGCTTTAATTCAGATATTTTCTATTGACCTTACTTCAGTTTCACTAATTCTTTCTCATTGTGTCAAATATACTGTCAAATATCCACTGAATTTTTAATTTTATATACTGAACATTTCAACTTTAAAATGTACATTTAATACTTCCTTGTAGATTCTAATTCTCTTTTCATATTACCTATCTGTTTAACTGTTTTGCTGTTGTATGAGAGTTTTAGCTATTTTAATGGCTCTTCTAACTCCAACATTTGGGTTACCTGCAGGGAAGATACTATGGTCATTTGTGTCATTCATATGAATCTGTCTCCTCACAGGCCTAACAAGATTTTTTATTTATAAATGGACAGTAGAGATAATTATATTACAATATGTAACTGCACCAAATCAACATGTCTATACCTTAAGCTTATGCAATGTTATATGCCAAATATCTATAAATATAAAAGCCTAAACGACCGAATGACTAGTCGACCAGTAGCTATGATGTGCCCTGACCACCAGGGGACAGACAACACACAGGATCAGGCTCCCTCCTGTCTGGATCGGGCCTGCAGGGATCGGGCCTGTGGGGATCGGGCTGAAACCAGCTACCTGACATCCCCCGAGAGGTCCCAGATTGCAAGAGGGTGCAGGCCAGGCCAAGGGACCCCACCAGTGCACGAATCCATGCACCAGGCCTCTAGTATTTTAATTAAAAAAATAAGGCCAGTAGAAACCTACCTTTCCTGGAATGTATTTATATAAAGAAAGAAAAGATTTGAAGGACTACAAAGAAAGCTTATAAGTTTAGCTGAATAGCAAGATTATGGAAATTTTTATCTATTTTATCCTTATGATTACTTAAAATAATTTTATATAAAAATAGATAAATAAAAGTTAAAATTTAACATGTCAACAGAATTATTTAAATTCAAAGGGGTTATTTAGTACATTCAACTAATTGTGTTCAAGAAATGCAGTAACTTTTCATAATAATTTTCAATCATAATGAAATGCTCATAATAGTTTATTTCAAACCTTAAAAAAATTTAGAATTATAATTTTATATAGACATATTCACTACCAACCACTTTCTTTTCATTATTAGGACATTCTATTTCAAGAACAGTTTCTAATGATGAACGAATGTTTAAAACTTTAGTAATTTAAATCCTACACCAGCTAGGCAATATTATTTTAAAATGTCCATTTCAGGCATAGTAATTTATTTCAAATGAAAATGATTGTTGCACTGAGTAAAAACAACAAATAGATACCTCATGTTGTTTAAATTTCTCTTTCCACATTTTCTCTTCTTCTTGGCATTCATCATTCATCTTGGCCTGTTCTTGCTGAACACATGTTAATATTAAAATATTAGATTCAAATGTCAGAAAACATTATGTTCATTATACATGATTCTCACAACATATATTTGTAAATAATGGTTAAAACAACTCAGTTAATGGTGCTCAGTTGTTAGTACTGGGATAACAACTTTAATCTCAACCTAAAGCATCATATAAATAACACCTCGGGTTCCCATTTTGAACACATAAAGATGTTTGTAACCTGGGAAAGTTGTTTTATTTATGTGAGCATGTTTATTCACATAATAAAGAACATCAGCTAGAAATAGTGATGGACAATGCCAAAATGACAAATAATGTTCGTAAGATGGGCTTTGCATTACAATATTTTTCTCTCCACACCATCCCACTTAATTCACATAGTAAATCAGTTCAGTGGCTAATATTTCTTTAAGGGATAGAGAGAGAGAGAAAAAAAGAGAAACATTGATGTGAGAGAGAGAAACATTGATCAGTTGCCTACCATGTGGGCCTCAACCTAGGTATGTGCCCTAACTGGGAATTGAACCTGCAACATTTTTGGTGTGTAGGACGATGCCACCTGACTAGGGTGTGGTTTTCTTTTAATAACATTTTAGCAGCACATATTTTGTTAAGGATCTGATGAATAAACAAAAATAAGCAAAATATAATCTCTTTTACTCTAAAAAGTAACCTTTAATATGAGAACATTCTCACAAGTTCACACATTACTCCAAATTTAGCAGAATAAGTTTATTGAAAGAGAAGATTATATAGAATCATAGGAACAGGTGTTATAATTGGTGGATCGTGAATGGTTTCATGCAGAAGATTGTATTTGAAATTAGTAGGCTTTCAAGAGGTTGGACAGACATTTTAGGCATGTATTAAATGTTTTTGAACTAGAAAAAATGACGACAGCTCCGTGTTTAGGAAAATCATAATGTCACCTCAGGTAGAGTTAGAGACAGAAAACCCAGGAGACACCAATATGATCAGTAAGATAGATATTAGCAAAGTCCATGTGAGAATTAATGAGGGCCTCTGGATAGTGGCAGGAGCAAGAACAGATACAAACATAAAGTGAACATGAAATTGCCACAAATGGACAACTCATTGGATATAAAGGTAATGGAAAATTTTCCTTGGAAATTGTCTTATGTGAACTATGGGAACTTTTGATGGGATTTAAGAACGTAAAAAAATAGCCTCCTGACAGCACTATGGTGGATGAGTCTTTGGAAGATAAAAAGTAGGGAGATCAATTAGAGAACATAATAAATATCCAAAGCTAGACATTAGCACACCCTGAACTATGGAGTAGCAGTAGATATATGGATGAAAAGATAGATAATACAACTATTTGAGGATAATAAAAGAGAAGGAAGAGTAAAAAATGGTCCTCATCTTTCTAGCTTGGGCAATGATGGTAGTGTAGCTCACCAAAATAAAGAATACCAGAGGAGGAACATGATTCAGAAAGACAATGCACTCAGTTTTAGATACATTAAGTTCTAGGTGTGAAGTATCTGTAGGAGAGTTATGTAATTAGTTTACTTTTTGCTATAAATATAGATTTGGTTCTAAACAGCTAAGGCTAAGAATGAGATTAATAAGAAAAGGACAAGGGAATGGTGGGGGGAAGGCTGGGGCGCAGGGGCAGGCTGGGGGAGGACAATGGGGGTAAAAATGGACATATGTAATACTTTCAACAATAAAGAATTAAAAAACAAAACAAAAAAGAAAGCCTTGGTAGTGTCATATTCAAGGAGAAAGAAAAAAGAAGCTTAAAATGGATATCAAGGAGGAAATTCCAAACATATAAGAAAGAGAATCAAGGCAGTGTGGTCCCCATGGGAAGGAGAAATGGCCAACATCAAATTTTTACTGGCATAAAATATAATAGAGACCAAAATAAAAACTGAAAATGAGCCTGTGAGTATGGTAACTTGGCAGTCATTGGTTAGTTTTGTGAAGAATAGTCTCACTCAGTGGGATGGTGGTAAACAACTAGCAGGTTTACAATTGAACAAAACAAGCAAATGGATATAGCAAAAATAACACTCTTTTAAGAAGCTGGACTGTGGCCCGGCCTGTGTGGATCAGTTGGTTGAGTGTAATCCCATGTTCAATTCCCAGTCAGGACACATGTCCAGGTTGCAATTTCGGGGTGTGTGTGGGAGTCAAACCATCCATGTTCCTCCCTCACATAGATGCTTCTCTCCCTCCCTCCCTCTCCCTTCCTCTCTCCTAAAAATCAATAAAAACATTACATATATATACATATATATGTGTGTGTGTATATACATATATATATATATACATATACACATATATATATATTAAAGAAGCTGATTATGATCAGTAGAGCTAAAGAGCTTGATAAAATGAGATATTATGAACAAAGGTAATCTCGTGGTTTTCCCTTTGTTTTGTTTCTAGGATGGGAGAAAACTGAACATGTTTATAAAGAATAAGAAAGGAAGAAGTTGGAAGGGGTGTTTTGAATATAACAAAAAGCAGGGGTAAACTGGAAAATGAGAAAGCAGAGGAGAAAAAACTAAACTTTAGTAGAAGAGGAAACACTTGTTACTGAGATACTGATACAAAAGCAATGGCAAAAGAAAAGGTGAGTACAGAGATTGATACTAAATAGATATGCGATTAGAAAGAAGAGGAAGCTTGTAATTAATGCAAACATGTTATGTGATCATATGCTAATAATGAGAGAGCAGTTGGGTGGAACTCATGGAAAGAGATTTACAATAGCAGTTTTGAGGAGAAGAGGACACTAACAAGGGGTACAGAAAAGAGCTACTAAAAGGAAGTAAATCACATATTTAAAACCCATCATTATAAAATTATGGAATGGCCCCACCAGAAATTTTAAGCCTCAAGATATAACAAAGCACATATTTAGGAATTCACTAAACCTACTAATGTCATTTTTTAAATCATAATTTTATGATAGTAACAATCATATTTATCAGATTTGTAGAAAGAAAATATAACTAAAGGAAAGTTAAAATTTAGACTTCGTGAGAAAAAAAATATAACCAAAGTGGCTCTACAATATTACAATTACTTTAACTTGTTTATCCTATATAATAAAAGGGTAATATGCAAATTGACCCTAACTGCAGAACGACTGGGAATGACTGGTCACTATGACACACACTCACCACCAGGGGGCAGATGCTCAATGCAGGAGCTGCCCCCTGGTGGTCAGTGTGCTCCCACAGGGGGAGCTCTGCTCAGCCACAAGCCAGACTGACAGCTGCCAGTACAGCGGTGGTGGTGGGAGCCTCTCCCGCCTCCTCAGCAGCACTAAGGATGTCCGACTGCAGCTTAGGCCTGCTCCCCGCTGGCAGGTGGACATCCCCTGAGGGCTCCAGGGCTGCCAGAGGGATGTCTGACTGCCAGCTTAGGCCCAATCCCCAGGGGTCCCAGACTGCGAGAGGGCACAGGCCAGGCTGAGGGACCGCCCCCCCGAGTGCACAAATTTTTGTGCACCGGGCCTCTAGTTTTTTATATCAGCAGGAAATGTAGTGCACTGAACATGGAATGCTAGAATACCCTGAACTGCCTAGACGACCACATGGTAATTTCTCTATTTGAAACCTTCAAATCTAACAATTTCTAGGTTACATGTAAATCAGCTTTAGTGATGTTAGGCAGACAAGTCTGTCCAGCCTGATATCTAGAGATTCTAGGGATCATGATAGCCCACAAGTAGGGTCCTAAAAATCCACCAGTTTCTTAATATGCCACTGTAGTGACCTCAGGGTGTAGACCTTCTGAGGTGGGGTTGGAGAAAACAGAAATAATTACAACACAAAAGTCTTCCATACCAAAAAAAAATGTCTAGTCCAAGGAATTAGCTCAATTATAGAGCTGAAGTACAAACCATCATTTACTTGGTTGAACCTCTTCAACCAAATATGTTTTACTTAATTGCTATATATCAGACCACATAGCAAGGGCACCACATGATTAACAAAATTCTGTTATATTTTCCTATAATTAGAAGGGCATAAAAAAAGCATCAGTTTGTGCTATAAATGTTATCCTTTCTAGGACTATCTTTGAAACTTCAAAGGCTTTAGTGGCTCCCATGATCCAAAGCAGTATCTGAAATTCCAATAAATTTCAATAAAAACTAATTAAGGAAACCATATTAAATATTATTAACCAGTCAATTGGCTCTATTATCAGGAGTAATTAAAAGTAAATCCACACTATACTCCAAAACAGCAATACTCTTCATAAGTAGCTACTAATTTAAAAAGAAGTATGAAAAACAAAAACCTTTTGAATATTCTCTAATTTTTTCTTTTCAATTTCAAACTGTTTCATCCAGCAATGTCTCTTTTCTTCTTCTTCTTGAAACTGCTTTTCTTCTCTTTCCCTCTGAGCTTTGAGAGTTTCTTTCTCTTGGTCTTCTAGTTCTTTCTGTTTATCTTGCCAAGCCTCAAAAGATTGCCTACATCTTTCTTCCACTTCACAGTATCCAAAATTTATTTCACCATCATCTGCAGTCATAAAGAGAAATATTATTTTTAAGATCAAAACTGTTAATAGTGATCCACTGTGAAGTATAAAAGTAATTTTGCAAAGAAGAAATAATTTCAACATATTACCAAAGAAAAAGTGATAAAATAAAAATCCTATATAATAAAAGGCTAATATGCAAATCGACCGAACAGCGGAATGACTGGTCGCTATGCAGGAGCTGTCCCCTGGTGGTCAGTGCGCTCCCACAGGGGGAGCATCACTCAGCCAGAAGCCAGGCTCATGGCTGGCAAGCGCAGCAGTGGTGGCGGAAGCCTCTCCCACCTCCGCGGCAGCGCTAAGGATGTCCGACTACCAGCTTAGGCCCGCTCTCAGTCAGACATCCCCCGAGGGCTCCCGGACTGCAACAGGGCGCAGGACCAACTGAGGGAACCCCCCCCCCCCCCGAGTGCACAAATTTCATGCACTGGGCCTCTAGTAAAAAAATATAGTCTTAAATATACATGGAAATTCCACTGCAGTCAACAAAGAAAACACATAACTTGCCTTAAACTACTCAACAAACTTAATCTAAAATTATAGTGTGTGTGTGCTCCTGGGTAGTTATTGTATTCTTAAGAAATTCAAGGCTGGTTATGTTTATTGCAGTCAACTATATATGTAGAAAAATTATAAATACATTTCAATCAAGGTACTTTAGGAAGCATAAACAAAACTATGAGAGTATGTAATTAAATAAGCAGAGTGAAAGTATTATATATGATTGTATTTTCCTAATTGTCAAAAGAAAAACTCTACATTTCCTAAGATAACTATAATCAGATAAAAATTATCAAAAATATCATTGAGTTTTGCCCACCTAGAAAAATATGTTCATCTACATGTTCATAAGGACCAGGCTCTGGAACAGCATCAGGACTGTCACAGTGGGTATTACTTCTCAGAAATTCTCCTTTTTCTATTTCAGATAATATCTAAGAGGTTAAAAGAATACCAGTGATTAAAGAGAACCGAAATAGAGGATCAAGCTATCATTTTAATAATATAGAAAATATGCCTATACACATAGCTACAACTTTTTTTAAAACTTTATTTTGAAAGTATTACAAATATCCCCTTTCCCTCCTCCGCCCCGCCCACTGATCCCCTCCATCCCACTCCCGCCCCTCCCCAGACTGTCCCCACAGTGTTTTGTGCCCATTGGCTATGCATATATACATATAAGTTCTTTGTTTAATCTCTTCCCATCTCCCTCCCCACCCCCCCCGCCCCGCCCTTCTGAAATATGTCAGTCTGTTGCATGTTTCAGTGTCTCTGGATCTGTTTTGTTCATCAGTTTATTTTCTTCATTAGATTGTACATATAAGTGAGATCATGTGATACTTGTCTTTCTGACTCACTTATTTCACTTTAGTATAATACTCTCCAGGTCCCTCCATGTTGCATCAAAGGGTAAGAGATCCTTCTTTCTTTCTTTTCTTTTCTTTCCTTTTCTTTCTTTCTTTCTTTCTTTCTTTCTTTCTTTCTTTCTTTCTTTCTTTCTTTCTTTATTTTTTTATTGCTTAAAGTATTGCAAAGGGTATTACATATGGAGGTCCTTCTTTTTTTACTGCTGCATAGTGTTCCATGCTGTAATTGTACCAGACCCTTTTTATCCATTCATCTCCTGATGGGCACTTGGGCTGTTTCCAGGTCTTAGCTCTTGTAAATTATGCTGCTATGAACATAGGGGCGCCTATATTCTTTCTGATTGGTGTTTTGGGATTTTTAGAATATACTCCTAGAAGTGGGATCACTGGATCAAATGAGAGTTCCATTTTTAATTTTTTGAGGAAAATCCTCAGTTTTCCACAGTGGCTGCACCAGACTGCATTCCCACTAGCAGGGAACTGGGGCTCCCTTTTATCCTCATCCTCACCAGCACTTCTTGTTTGTTGATTTATAGCTATTACTTTATTTATTTCAAACCCTTCTCAAATACAATTCTATAGCACATTCATAATCATTGTCTTCATGGTGAATAATAATGTTTTTCCCATGCAAGCTGACTGTATTTTAACCTTATGATTTTTAGAACTCTAGTCACTCTATAATATTAATTCACAGCAATTACCTAACTGCTTGATAATCATTTAAAAATATTTTTACTAATATTTGTTTTCCTCCTAATACATTTCTATCTTTCTTACCTGTAGTGGTTTTTCACATATACAAATATCTCATCTATTCAATATGTTTAAAAACCAGGACTATTACCTACTTTAATCTGAATTATATATAAGACATAATTCTGATGAATACTTTTCTATGATTAGATTCCACCAGAGTCTAGATCAGCGGTTCTCAACCTGTGGGTCACGACCCCTTTGGCGGTTGAACGACCCTTTCACAGGGGTCGCCTAAGACCATCCTGCATATCAGATATTTACATTATGTTTCATAATAGTGGCAACATTGCAGTTATGAAGTAGCAACGAAAGTAATTTTATGGTTGGGTCACAACATGAAGAACTGTATTTAAAGGGCCAGAAGGTTGAGAACCACTGGTTTAGATGGAAATAAAAAGATTATCTATTCCAATGAAATACCAGTATGATAATTCTAAGTTAATATTTCAAGTTTTAGTGTTATCAAAACAGCAAGTAAGAAAATACATATAATTTTCATATCATTTTAGACATCTTAGGGAGCAGGAATAAAGTTAGATAAAATGAGAGTTAAAAAAGTAAATCCAAGATATTGAAACTGTAGAATAGATTTGTGGGAGTTTTAACCCAAAATGCTAACTCTCCTTTACTCTTATATTTTAGGAGTATTCAATTATATCTTTACACTTGGAGTGCGGGTGAATTTCCCGCCAAAATATAAGATGGCTCTGTCTTTTGGTTTTGTTCCATCCACCAAAAGGGTGGATTACAAACAAATATTTGGTAATACGCAGTTACAATCGGCCCGAGTTTACACGTTTCCCGCACTCCACCGCAAATCTATATGAACCGAGTTAAAGACGGCTCCCGCGGAGTACGCGCAATTCACGCGAGCCGACTTAACTCGTTTCCCGCACTCCAAGTGTTTAAAGAAAAACTAACATAAGATGTTCTAAGTTGAAAGTTTCTATACAATATTTAAAATCTCTGCTGGAACACATTACATTCCTAAGCAAGGCAATAAACACTAGAGTATACTCATTTTGGGGGGGTCAGAGTTTTAGGGGGGGGGGAATGCAATATCATTCTCCTCTTTTATCTACATACACATAAACTTCCCAAGTAGTGATATTTCATTTTTTTTCAAATTTCTATTTCTTATATTTTTAAACATTGAAATTTGAGTGGTTTTATTTTATATGCCAAGGAAAATATAAAACTAAAAATAATTTGCTTAAAAACTATTTAAATTTTAATTTTTAAATCAGTGAACTTTAAATCAGTGAATATCATCTGGTGTAAGAGGGGAGGTAATAATGAGTAATTTTAGTTAAATGTTGAACATATACCTTCATTAATTGATCTGAGTTTTCTTTATATTCAGTTGATAATTCTACCCTTAAGTGCATATGATTATTAGAAACTGCTCCATAAGTGTAGCCTAGAAAAAGAAAAAATATTATAACTTTAAACATTAGAGTAAGGAACAACATATTAAAATTTCAAACCTCCCAACATCCTTTAATCTCAAATTCTATCATAGCATATTATTGATCAGTAACAAAACAACAGAAAAAACAAACGAAGAATAAAGAACAGAGGAAAATCTGTAAATTTTTACTCTAAAATGTAACAAATTTTTATATCACTAAATTTGGTATCCCCTTTTATATTCTAAAGTTTATTCTCCACATACACATAATAATGTTTTGTTTGATATTGTAATGACGTCTTGATTAGAAATCAACAAAAGTTTAATTCTACTTGCTACAACTGGCAATATAATTTTACACAAGATATTGAAACCACTTTAATAAAAGTATTAGTTTGAAAGATTATAATTACTAACATGTGAATGAGGTAAACTTTCTTTCTTGAGTTTATGAGTTTTTGTTTTATTTTATCAAGTCTTTCTATTATCTGTGTAGATGTGGTTATGTTTCTTTTCCTTATTTATTTAATGTGTTAGATCATGGTAATGTTTCCTGACAGTAAACTATTTTTTAAGAGGACAATTCTGCTGGTTAACTTTCCATTCACAACTATTTTGTCAGATACAGATTTTCCTCTTCAACAACTATGCACAATCTTTCTGGCATGCTTTCCTGTGTGAGGGGCTGTAGAGCAAAAAATAACATTCTCCAGATCCCCTTTAAGCTAGGTTTTGAAGGGTGACTTAGGTTCTATCAACTGATATATCTGTGTAATTCTTTATTTTTATAAAAATATTATGTGTGAAGAGAGGCAGGGAGCTATATTTTAACATTTTTTTTTTTTGGCCCAAACCATGATAGATAGAGGGAGCTTTGGTTTGGAGACAGGAGTGCATAGCAGATAATAAATGTCTCTGACTTTCTTAGTTATATCAGACAGCAAGCTCCTGCAGCAGACAGGTTCCACAATGTATGTGTGTGTGTGTGTGTTTTATGCACGTTGGATATTCAGTCTACAGTCCGTTTCTTAAGTTCTGTCAACAATCTGTTACTTACTGTTGTAGCAGGTCTCCAAAGATTCTTCTCCCACATTTCCTGGTATGCACACCCTGCATAGATCCTTGAACTGCCACCCCTGCTGACCTGGTCTCCTCCAACTGCCCGCTCTGCCAGCCTAGTTGCCCCTCACTGCCCCCATGACAGCCTATTCACCCCCAACTGCCCCCCCTGCCAATCTGGTCACCCTCAACTGCACCCCCCCGCTAGCCTGGTTGACCTTAACTGCCCCCCCACCAGCCTGGGTCGCCTTGTACTGCCCCCCCTGCCGACCTGGTTGCCCCCAACTGCCCCACTCTGCCGGCCTGGTCACCCCTCACTGGCCCCCCTGATGGCCTCGTCACCCCTCACGGCTCCCCTGCCGGCCTGGTCACCCCACACAGCCTGTTATTCAGTCGTTTGGTCGTCCCTCACTAACCCCCCTGCCGGCCTGGTCATAGGCAGCCATCTTGTTAGAGTGTGAGGGTTAATTTGCATATTACCTCTTTATTATATAGGATTCTTAGAATAATTCCCAGGAGTTAATTTGCTCAGTTGAAGAAAATAAACATTGCTAGGCTTTTTATATAAATTATACTTTTCTCTAAAAAGATATATAAACTGATACTTTTAAAACAGTCCCATGATTAGTTTTCTTTAATGTAAAGTAATAGAATGTTTGGTTTTAATTAAGGCTGGTTAAACAAATATTGGTGATTAGTATTTATTGGAGATATAAGGAAGATTAGTAAGATAAATGAACTAAATTGAACAGTCCAATATACTATAAATATTATATTAGAGACTAAATATATGCATAAAATAAGAGACAAGTACTTTAAGCAGTTTAATTTTCTACATTTTAGGTTAATTATTCTTATAAAAACTTATCTATCAAGCAGATAAAAACTGTACTTACTTAAAACATCAGTATCTTCTAAGTCCTGAAGAATGAGCTCTTCAGCAGTTTTACTCTTATTCTTTATGATGTTAATACACTGAAGAACTGACTCCGGTAATTCAACTAAGTCCTGAAAATTTTAATAATGAAAGAAAGTATTACATTGTCCATTAAAACTATGTATCAAATATCCCCTCCTTCATTCCACATAAAATGTGAGAAAATGGATAGATGAGGTAAAAGGCTATAGAGAGCACAGTTCACCTCACACCTGTCAGAATGGCTACTATCAATAAATCAATAAAAAACAAGCTCTGGTGAGGATGTGGAGAAAAGGGAACCCTCATGCACTGCTGGTGGGAATGCAGACTGATGCAGCCACTGTGGAGAACAGTATGGAGATTCCTCAAAAAATTAAAAATGGTACTGATTTTTTACCCAGTGATTCCATTTCTGGGAATATAGCCTAAGAATCCCCAAACACCAATCAGAAAGAATATATGCATCCCTGTTTATAGCAGCGTTATTTACAATAGCCAAGATTTGGAAACAGCCCAAGTGCCCATCAGTAGATGAGTGGATAAAAAATCTGTGGTACACTTACACAGTGGAATACTACGTTGCTCTAAAAAAGGAGAAACTTCTACCCTTTGTGACAGAATGAATGGACCTGGAGAGCATTATGTTAAGTAATATAATCCAGTCAGAGAAAGACAAATACCATATTATCTTACTAATATGTGGAATCTAATGAATAAAATAAACTGATGTACAAATTGGAACCAGAAGCTTGGATACGTGGGACAGACTGGATGGTGTCCAAGGGGAGGGGTTGAGGGTGACTGGATAAAGAAGGTGAAGGGATTAGCTAGAGAACATATATGCATACCCTGTGGACACTGACAATACTGTGGTGAAGCCCAAGGGAGCAGGAAACGGGGGAGGGTGAAAGGGGGGAGGTGAACACCTGCAATAATGTCAACATTAAAACCTACACTAATAAAAGAAAAAGATGCAAATTAACCATCACTCTGTCACTCCACCACTCTGCTACACCCACAAGCCACGCCCACCAGCCAATCAGGAGCGAGTATGCAAATTAACCCAACTAAGATGGCGGCGGCCACAGAGCTGGAGTGAGCAGGAGGCTTGGGTTGCCCCCGGCGATGGAGGAAGCCAAGCTTCCCGCCTGCCCTGGCTGGTCCTGGGCCCTGCTCAAGGCTACAAAGTTTCAATTATAGAAGATAAATAAATCCCAGATACCTGCTTCTAGCCACCCTGGCCTCCACTCAAGGAGGCACTGAAAAACAAAAAAAAAAATAAAAGGAGAGGCTGGGAGCTTGGGTCGCTGGGGGGCATGGCCAGCCTGAAAATGGCCATCAGCCCCTCACCCAGGCTGGCCAGGAACCCCAGTGGGACCCCCCCCCCACCCGGAAGTTGCTGTGGGAAGCCTGAAAATGACCCTCAGCCCCTCACCCAGGCTGGCCTGCAAACAGCCATCAGCCCCTCACCCAGGCTGGCCAGGCACCCCAGCGGGACCCCCACCCTGATCCGGGACACCCTTCAGGGAAAACGAGCCAGCCCCCTCCGTGCACCAGGCCTCTATTCTATATAATAAAAGGGTCATATGCAAATTGACCCTAACAGCAGAATGACTGGGAATGACTGGTCACTATGACACACACTGACCACCAGGGGGCAGATGCTCAATGCAGGAGCTGCCCCCTGGTGGTCAGTGCGCTCCCACAGGGGGAGCTCTGCTCAGCCACAAGCCAGGCTGATGGCTGCCAGCACAGCGGTGTTGGCGGGAGCCTCTCCCACCTCCTCAGCAGTGCTAAGGATGTCCGACTGCAGCTTAGGCCTGCTCCCCACTGGCAAGTGGACATCCCCTGAGGGCTCCCAGGCTGCCAGAGGGATGTCTGACTGCCAGCTTAGGCCCAATCCCCCGATCTCCCAGACTGTGAGAGGGCACAGGCCGGGCTGAAGGACTCCCCCTGCCCCGAGTGCACAGATTTTTGTGCACTGGGCCTCTAGTAAAAATATATTTAAAAATAGTTTAAAAAAAACACCAGTGCTAATGGCAGCAATTAACTTAGGAAGAGATGGTGTCAGTTCAGCAAGTTCTGTAGAGAGGAATGCAATGGAGCTGCAGACAAAGGTGCCAT